GTCCCGCCCCGCCCGCCGCGCCTGAGGCTCCACCCCCTGTCCCGCCCCGCCCTTCGCTCCTCAGGCCCGGCCGAGCGGTCCCGGCTCCACTCGCGCCCTGTGGGGGCCGCGGCGCGCTCTTCCAGAGCCTTTGAGCCCCGCCTCCGCTGGCGCCCAGCCGGGCACGGCGCCGTCCCGCGCGTCGTATTTTGGCGGCCGGCGCGTTCCGTAGCGAGGCCGGCGAGCGGGGTCGGAGGTCGCGGGGCGGGGCCGCGTCCGTTGCCGCCTCCGCGGGCGCCTCCTCTTCCTCGAGCTCAGCCCCGGCGCTGACGCTCCAGCGGAGTCTGAGCTGCGAGCGCGTGAGGCGGGGGCGCGCGGTCCGCAGGCCGCCGAGATGGCCCTGAGCGACGAGCCGGCCGCGGGCGGCCCCGAGGAGGAGGCGGAGGACGAGGCGCTGGCCGGCGGCGCGGCGCTGGCAGCGTTCGGCGAGAGCGCGGAGACCCGGGCGCTGCTGGGCCGCCTGCGGGAGGTGCCCGGCGGCGGGAAGGCGCACGAGGTGGCCCTGCAGCAGTTCCGCGGTGCGTGGGCGCGGACCCGCGGCCGCTCGGCGAGGGCTGCCCGTACGCGGTCCCGCGGGCCGTGGCGGGGCGCGGCCTCCCCGGCGCGGCGTCGGGTGCACGGGGCAGGCGCGCGCCTCTTTCGGGGGCCCGCCGGGCGCCGGCTCGCGCGCGGGGTGAAGCGTCTGCGGCCTCCCGGGAGGCGGGGTCCCGCTCGCGTCTTGGTCCCCGGAGGAGGCGCCCGGGCGGCGGGTCAGCCCCGCAGGGTGGCCTCCGGGGCCTGCTCCCCGAGCCCGCTTCTTGGGGGCGTTGCGTGGACGGGAGGGGTGAGGGGAGGACGCGCGGACCCAACCTGCGGCGGACAAAGGCTGCGGGTTCGCGGACCCCGCGTGGAGCGCGCCGGCGGGTCCATGCGTCTGCGGCGGTGCGGGGTGTGCTGGGGGGTGCAGGGGTGCGCGTGGGGGTGCGGAGTGTGCGGGGGGGT